AGAACACAAAAGTAGATAAGATCTTTAAAATGGTGTAAAAGCTACTAACATTTAGAATCAATTTTCTGCCAAAGTGTAAAACCTTACTTCATGTATATCTACAATCATATAAATGGGTTGTCCGGTCACGGGCCATGAGATTGAGGCCCGCCGACCCCGGCAATTGGGCTAGTCTAGTTATATTACATTTCCCCAAAGGGAACAACAACATATACAAATTTCACACCGACGATATCAAACTGACAAACAAAACTCGTCCAGAATCTGACTGATGTTCGGCCGCCAATGTTCTCTCTCTGTTATTAATGTTTCTTTACAACAACAACAACAATAATAATAATAACAATAATAATAATAATAATAATAATAATAATAATAATAATAATAATAATAATAATAATAATAATAATAATAATAATAATAATAATAATAGGAAACTTTATCATTGTACATAGGTAACTTAAACATCACAAGGAAAAGCAATATTCCAATTCTAAAAGGAATTCAATTTTTTTGTTTGAAAAAAAAAATTAAAAAATTAAAGAAATTAATTAGCTCCCAATTGAAAAAAACTACAATGTTAACGTTTTAAAACAAAACTACATGCTAAAAAATCAACGATCAATCTGCAGAAAATGCATCACATCATGAATCAACCCTAAGACGTCCTGAAGAACGAGAATCGAGCTCGATTCGCTTAAGCATCGGGCATTCGGATACTGACAGTTCCATTAGTCGACCACCACCCGAAATTATCCCAATGCTTTCCAAGAAACCACACCTCTCGATCACCACCTTACCGAGCCGCCCAAACTTCGGAGTGACCTGGAAAAACTTGTCCGTTATATCCGAGTCGTGCAATTTCAATTCCTCGACGCATTTGAAAAAATCCGAACCCATTAGACTACCTCGTACGTTAGCCTCACCCCCACCGTAACTAACCGAACGTACATTCTGTGCCAAAACCGACACGATTTGAACCTCACTACCTCTACCGAGATAAAAATCAACAGCTTCCAATTTCCGGCACTCGCGAGGAACACTAACGACCTCAAAACCCTTGCACGAGACAATCGAGAGCTCCACGAGAAGCTCGCAACGCGAGAGCACGCTCTCTAGGGTTTCTTGGCCGACGAAAACGTGTAAGAGCCTTAGTTTCGTGAGCGAAAACCGGGTATTTTTCCCGTAGAAACAACAATCGCGCTCGAGAAACCGGCATCCAAACAAGTCGAGACTTTTTAGAGTCGGGAGGGCACGAACGAGGGGCTGGGGAAGAATGTAGGGCCATCGGTGGCCCTTGCCCAGCCATGATGTGGAGAAGCAAGAAAGGACCAAGTTTTGGACTTTTTTTTCCGCGGCGAAAACGAGCCACTAGTTGAGGTGAGAGAGGAGGCGGGCCAGACGGGGCCCGGCGAGGTTCACGACGAGCTTGAACTTCTCGACTCCAACGGACGGTGGTCGGTTTGCGATGGAACGATCGATGTGTTGGTAGAATTTTTGGGTGAGGTTTTTGAGATTATTATTGTCGGGTTTTGAGGGGCGGTGAGTGTGAGCAGATTGGAGGAAGGAGTGGAAGTCGAAATCCGTGGCGGGGAAGGATTTGTAGGCGGAGTACCATGTTTTGGAGAGGGAGGTTGACCGGACGGCATCGATTGTCGGGAGGAAGGAGAGAATGTGGTGAAGAATAGGCTCCGGAAGGCCGGAGATTATGTCTTCGTCGGGAGTTTTCGAGGTTTGTCTTCTCTTTGTAGGAGACGTTTTCATCTTTGAGTTGGTAGTAACAGAGGTTTTCAACTTCTTTTATGTTGGTACTATAGAGGGCTTGACTTTGGCTTGACCTTTAGCATACTCAAGAGAGTAAAACAGATGTCCTTTTTACATAAGTTTTTAGGAGAGAGAGAGTAAAACAGATTTCCTTTTTCATAAGGTTTTATGAGAGAGTGCGTAGTTTCTTGGGAAGCAAGTTTCACTACTTGTGAACTAAAAAATTAGAGCAACTAGAAAATTATTTAACTGTGTTTCCAATGGTCATTGCTAGAGATGATTTAATTTGACATGTGCAAAATTATAATTAGTTGAAGAAAAAAGAAAAATTGAATAAATAATATACTACCTCCTATTTTTAATATATGTCATTTTGAGAAGTTGCACACTAATTAAATATATTTTTTTTGTCAATAATAACCTTATTTAATAAAGATAGAGATGAATGTTTTGAGAAAAAGTGAAGAGTGAATATGAAAAGACGTAATGTATTTATTGGCTAAATGAGAGTAATAATGAAAAAATATGGACAAAAGATCTAAAACGACATTTATTTGGCAAATAGTTGAAAATGGTAGAATGACATTTAAAAAAAATAAGCTCACATAAGCATTTAATCAAAGAAATCTCATTTTCGAAAATATCACGTACGTTTTTCAAAATTTAACCCGGTCAGTGTTTTTGAAATCAACATAACTTTCAGTACAAAACTCGGATGAATATGATTCAAGTTGTAATAGAATCCTAAGAAATGCATCTACAATTCTTATGAAGACACAAAAAGCAAATAAGGTCTTTTACTAGGAATTAAATCATCAAACATTCAAAACTGAGTAGCAGTCAAACATTGAGAACTTGTAACCGACCAGATTTCAGTAATTGCTAGATAACTGGAGCTACAGATATGATTTTAATGAGATTCAAAAACCATGTGATAGCTAACTAAAATGTCTACAACTTTGCTGAAGACTACATTGGCAAATAATCACTATATAAATTAGTTTGGACACAAAATATTTGATTTATAAAATCTGCCCGAGACTAAATTTTTATATAAACAGTACCTCGGTATTTGTCCTCTAAATCATGCTACAGACCTCTAAATTACATGATTCTTGTATGCTTCGAAAGCTAAGAGATAGACCTAAAACTTTTATTTAGAACACAAAAGTAGATAAGATCTTTAAAATGGTGTAAAAGCTACTAACATTTAGAATCAATTTTCTGCCAAAGTGTAAAACCTTACTTCATGTATATCTACAATCATATGAACACAACTCGAGCTATAGATATCACCTTAACATGAATCCTATCTCATTAGAAAGATAATCAACAGCCCTATAACTTTCATGAATAATATAAACTCACTAGATCACATTATGACACTATAAACAGGCCAAACATTATATAAACTCATGCTGCCGGGTCCAGAAAAACTGCTTGTATGATAAATTTGTAAAAATCATAACTCATTCAATATTAATCGGATTATCGAAATTCCAAAGCCTAGAGAAAGATAACAGGACGAATAACATTTCATATTAAGAACACATTTTCAGAAAACAATTTCTTAATATCATAACAGAGGCACCTTACCTCCTTCAAGGAAATGAAAATGATGAGGATAAATGAAAGAAGTGTTGCTCGGTTCTTCTCCTTCTCTCCCTCTCTTGCTTGAACTTGGTTTTTCTCTCTTTTTGCTAATGTTTTTTAAGTGTTTAAAGTCTATTCTCACTCAGCAAATGAAGACTTACAATGTCTCTCATGTGCATGTGAAATAAGATGCAAGAGGTAGTAGAAAAGTTTGGTTGATCTACTCATCTAATGCACATGTAATGAAGGTGAGTTGTCTTGAGTTGTCTTGTACCAAGATTCTTGGAAGGTTGGATGAATAAAATGATCTTGATAGAGCATCTCATGATGTAAGAAACGTGGTTTAATCAATCATTTGGTGAGACAAAGACAAAATCTCTTACATATGTATTATTATAAAGGGTAAATTGCGTCAAACCCCCCTGTATTATACGAAATCTGCGCGTTATCCCCCTGTATTTTAAAAATT